AGCTCCAACAAGTCCCTGAGGCCGTGGCAGTGTCCTTTAAGGAGGTTCAAGGCTGCCGTTTGCCAGCCTTCAAAACTCCCCAAACCCTCCCCTGCAGCTCCCAGGCGCCACTCAGGCCGCGGCAGACCTTTCCTGCAGCTCTAACAAGTCCCTGAGGCCGTGGCAGCGTCTTTTTATGGACGTTCAAGGCTGCCGTTTGCCAGCCCGCAAAACTCCCCCAACCCTCCTCTGCAGCTCCCAGGCGCCACTCAGGCCGCGGCAGACCTTTCCTGCAGCTCCAACAAGTCCCTGAGGCCCTGGCAGTGTCCTTTTAAGGACGTTCAAGGCTGCCGTTTGCCAGCCCGCAAAACTCGCCAAACGCTCCCCTGCAGCTCCCAGGCGCCACTCAGGCCGCGGCAGACCTTTCCTGCAGCTCCAACAAGTCCCTGAGGCCCTGGCAGCGTCATTTTATGGACGTTCAAGAATGCCGTTTGCCAGCCCGCAAAACTCCCCAAACCCTCTCTGCAGCTCCCAAGCGCCACTCAGGCCGCGGCCGACCTTTCCTGCAGCTCCAAGAAGTCCCTGAGGCCCTGGCAGTGTCCTTTTTTAAGCCAGCCGCAAAACTCGCCAAACCCTCCCCTGCAGCTCCCAGGCGCCACTCAGGCCGCGGCAGACCTTTCCTGCAGCTCCAACAAGTCCCTGAGGGCCGTGGCAGTGTCCTTTTAAGGCGTTCAAGGCCGCTCCAAACCCTCCCCTGCAGCTCCCAGGCGCCACTCAGGCCGCGGCAGACCTTTCCTGCAGCTCCAACAAGTCCCTGAGGCCGTGGCAGTGTCCTTTTAAAGAGTTCAAGGCTGCCGTTTGCCAGCCCTCAAAACTCCCCAAACCCTCCCCTGCAGCTCCCAGGCGCCACTCAGGCCGCGGCAGACCTTTCCTGCAGCTCCAACAAGCCGTTTGCCAGCCCTCAAAACTCCCCAAACCCTCCCCTGCAGCTCCCAGGCGCCACTCAGGCCGCGGCAGACCTTTCCTGCAGCTCCAACAAGTCCCTGAGGCCGTGGCAGTGTCCTTTTAAGGAGGTTCAAGGCTGCCGTTTGCCAGCCTTCAAAACTCCTCAAGCCCTCCCCTGCAGCTCCCAGGCGCCACTCAGGCCGCGGCAGACCTTTCCTGCAGCTCCAACAAGTTCCTGAGGCCGTGGCAGTGTCCTTTTACGGAGGTCCCAGGCTGCCGTTTGCCAGCCTTCAAAACTCGCCAAAACTCGACAAACCCTCCCCTGCAGCTCCAAAACATCGGAAAATTTCAGGAAATTCAAAAACATAGAAAATTGCAGAACATTTCATCGAATTTCAAACAAATTCAGAAAATCAAAGCCGTTGCTTCAAATGGACTTCCAAAAATTCACGAAATTCAGAAAATGAAAGCCTTCGTCTCATAAAGAACTCACAGAAATTCAGAAAATCAAAGCCTATCAATTTGAGAAAATGTTGTCTGACACGAAACCATTGACTGTTGGGGCTAGGAGAGCTTCATTATCCAATGTATGCCGCAGCCGCTGGAGAAATGAAAAGAATCAGTTTCGGGAAAATGTCCTTCTTAACTTGTATAGAAGCACAGGGATGCTAAACCTTTGAAGCGAAATGGATCATGGCCCTTAAGCATAGAAGCATCCGCTCAGAGCATTGTTTTGGTGCAATCCGCACGCTGTGCAAGGAAAATGTCGTGCGCGATCAGCCTGCAAGTAAAAAATCACCACGCTGTAGTGGCCATTCTTACCAGGGTCCCCAGCGGTATGTAACGGAAAATGCAATGTTGAAACCATTACAACAACACCATCCAAGCCTAAGGGACCCCGGTTACCATAGAGATGTTCACACACCAGTCTCTAGACAGTTAGCCCCATGGATATTTCCAAACACCAGTCTCCAAACACGTACTGTATGCCACGGAGCAGTCATACACCTGTCCGTTTGAGGGAACACTATGTATACACGCGAAATATTGCGTAGAGCAATAATCCTTGGTGTTGCTGCTGCCGCCAGCGGTGCTGCCAACGGCAACCTCCATGACCAAGTCGTCTGTAGCTTTGCGCGCCTTCTCCCGGCAATTGCGCCAGCAGACCATCCCTTGCACGACACATGAAACGTGCAACCCGGCTTCTGTAAAGTTCTGACACTGATCATTTTCCAGCTTCTTCTGCTGTGCCTCGCACGTGGAGAAATTTGACGAACATGGGCTGAAGCAGTTTTGAACTGCTTCGACGAACGCGCTGATCTTCTCTTGCCAGGCGGGCCTGGTCGTATTCGCCGTTCCCACAGCCACCGAGAAGCTCGTTGCAACGACGAGCAATGTAAAGAGCCTGCGCGCTTGGGGCTGCATGGCTTCGAGCGCACGCCAAGCTTAAAAAGCGTAGGTCGGGGCATGCAAAAGCTGCAGAAGAGCACAAAGAAGAGTAGCAAGATCATGAAGCTGACCAAAAGGTGACTAAAAGAAGACAAACTCCCAAGCGCTCAAGCTGGTCCACTTAGAAATTCTAATTGTCCAAACAGGTGGCTAAGTCGACCTTCCAACTGCCGACCGACAAATTATTCCCTGCAGCTGGGCATCCCGACAACAGTAGCAGGACTTGAAGTCTCAACATGCTGGAAGAACCTTCGTAGAGATAAATACGAAGGGTGGCTATTGAGAATTGGACCTGGCTATAAAGAACTGGACCTGCAAAATAAGTACATGGCGTTTCCAGGGTTGAACATGTTCGTACTCCAGAGTCCAGATCGTATTCTATTCTCTGTTCCCTTTGTCTGGGGTTTTGTTCTGTAACCAGGTTCTTGAGATAAAGCTTTGTGCTTGCAACAAGATGCCCATGCCCATTGCTGCCCAGTCTGGGTTTCAACAGCTTGGGGGGGGCGTGAGAAAAAGAAGTCTGGGGATTTAAGTTGTTGCTGCACTTAAAATCTCCAGCGCTTGTATGTATAGAAATAACTTGGTATGCACGAGATTCTCGCAATAGTATGAAAATACTTTTTTGGAAGCATGAACAGAGCAATGATACATGCATGAATCATACAGTATGATGGAAACATTCCAGGAATATGATCGAGTTCATCATCTAAACATCATTTTTTCCCGAGAGCGTCTGAGCGAAGAGTTCTTCTAATAGTGGGGGTCTGTATATCATCTTCTCTTCACATCTTCCCGTCTTCACATCTACACATATCATCTTTTCATCTTCACATCTTGCCATCTTCACATCTACACATAACATCATCCTCTCATCATCTTCTCATCATCTTCTCATCTAGCTTCAAATACCTCTACCAAACCTTCGGTTACCAAACCTCCTAGTAGAAAGGGGTCGGCGGCACCAGGGCGTTAGCCCATTCTATAAAATATCTTAACATATTATAACTTATAACCTGCTTGATGGGGACTCACCGGACTAACCCCAACTGACTGAGGAATAAAAAACCCTGACAAGCGAAAATCTTCGCCCTGGAAATGTGAGGTGCCCTATCTTCAGACAGACCCATATTCTTGATCATTCATGACGAAACAAAAAAGTGTGGATCATGAAATCAGATTTTTTTTACCAACATGTACTAAGAAGACATGATTAAAAGTGTATTGACCTAGTATGTTTTTCATAACAAGCATCCAAATCACCATCTTTGTATGTCATGTTCCAGGTCTCCTGCCCAGTGGATGGTGAAATCCCCCATGGTTTGACCCTTTTTTTTCCTGGTCAAATCGGATCATTTGTGTATGGCTAGCTACTTGAGTGTGGCAAAGCCACAAGCAAACCATGTCCAAAGCATTTTTAAGGTCAGGATATATCAGAAATACTTCGAGTTTCTGCGATTGGCTTTATCGCCTTGATCAGAAAGCCAGGAAAAGTGACCTTAGGTATAACCCTCCTTTTCAACAGCCCACAGGTCATCAAGCAACTCCTCTTTTCCGATCGTTGAGAAGGTTGGCCAAATGATTTATGGAGCAGAAAATAGGAGTCCGGGTCTACCGTGTGGTTGCAGATTGTCAGCCCTAGGTACCATCATCTCGTTTTGAGGGGCTTTAAAAAGTGTTAAAAACCTGAAAGATGTATACCTAACAAAACACTAGTCACTATACCCAACAACAGGTATACCTAAGGTATAGTGAAGTATATACCAATGATACAAACACCTTATCACTATACTTCACTATACCCAACAAAACACTATACCTTCATATAATTATACCTTCCAGTTTCATTGGCAATGTCCCTGCCCGGCCATCCCTCCCAGCCTCCAACTCCTCCTCAGACTCCACCGCGACCTGGTGAAGGAGATACCCTCTGGTCGCCATGGAAAATCATCATTCATAAATTGATGTTCCCATTTAGATAATATTTCGATTGATTGGAATTTTCATTCGAAACATGATATTAGATGCTCATTCATAGCTGGTTGGTGGTTTCAACCTACCCCTCTGAAAAATACGAGTTCGTCAGTTGGGATGATGAAATTCCCAATATATGGAAAAATAAAAGCCATGTTCCAAACCACCAACCAGTATATAATATTATAACATATTATAACTTATTATAACTTATAATCATGTTCCAACTGATTATGGCTTTTATTCATGTTCCAAATTCATGTTCCAAACCACCAAGCAGATAGATATTTGCTGGGATTTTCCAGCTACAACGAAGGCGTGCTATCGGGCACCCTGACCGGAGCCACCGGTGCCACCGGCGCAAGCGAAACGGCCACGTGCTCCGCCAGTGACACGGTCATGACCTGGCGGACCTGGCAGCGTAGGAGTTAGGTGCGAGCACGTGGATGTCATGTTAAAGGTACCACCCATATGGATTGATGGTTAATATATGTTAATACCACCCATAAGCTTGGGGATAGTGGATATATATATATCGTATGATATAGTATAGTGTTCCCCTAAGGTATCGGATTTTCCCATCCAGAATAGGCACTCAAACTGGGCATAGTCCCAAACATTTGTATAAAAAATGTTGGAAACCATCAATCAGATGAGCATGGGGACAAACAATCAACATGTCTGATACCAGGCTGGTCTCAAAGCCTGACCACTTACGAGACTTGTGTCTAAATGCGATGTAAATGCTATGCAAATGCTCCGGCTTAGAAGTGGAGTAACTGGGCTTGTTGCCCCCAAGCGTCAAAGGTAATTGGCCATATGGTGCGACTCCAAACGCAACAGGTGTTTGACACCATCCCTTTGAGCAACGACCTAGGAAGTTGTATCCAGGATTGACCAAGCCCTGATAGATCAGGGGGTCCTATTGAACAGTCACAACTTGTGTCATTAAATTCTTCATCTAAGTATAGATAGTTTTCCCACTAAAGTTGCCTAAAATCCCAATTCATACATATTCATACAATGTCCAACTCTAAGGTGCTTTAAACTCGATTGTAGATATCTCTAAACCCAACAGTTCATCTACTGGGAACCCACCTTGTTGGAGACCAAAACATCCCAGTGCTCCAGCAGCTCCAGCGCCGCGTCGGCTTCGGTGCCTGCGGGTCGTAGCTTTGCGTTCGATTGCTCTCCACATCCAGCTGATTGCTCTCGGCATCATCGCAACACAACTCCTGCGAACATCAAACAGACCCCAAACATGGGGGCATGGGTCAAATACATTATACATGCCCCATTTGATGGGCATGTCAAATCAAGTTGGGGTATGCCTATTATCATTTTTACTACAAGTGTTCGATTCAAATTTTGGTCAAATCCTGTGATTGGAGGATCATCCCAGGAATCGTCAGTGGTGTTTTGTACCCCGGGTGTGTTTTTGTCATGAAAAACCCCTAAAACTCGGGTGACATACCATTTATATCCCAGAATTGGTTTAGAAATCTGCAGAAATCTCCAGAAAATCCCGCAGAAAAGCTGATATTTGGATATATATATATATATATATATATACATATATATATATATATATATGTATATATAGTGGTGGGTAAATTGATGCTGTCCTGCAGATCGTCCCTTCCGCCCAAAATATGATGGCTGGCTGGTTTTTCGATGCGCCCGGTGGAAAAATCTCAAAATTTCTCATCATCCAGGATTCCTATCCTCTGGTTATGACTAACATAGCCATGGAAAATCCCTAATAAATGGAGGGTTCTAGCTGGGAAAATCATCTATTTCGATTAGGGCCATCTATACCATGGCTATGTTAAATAACCAGAGGGTATCTCTTGGATAGTCTAACCCCCTATCAACCAACAGGAGCTTTGAAGAATATTTCCCCATACCTAGGATGGAGAAAAAAGCTATGATCCCTATAAATTATCGCAAAAAATTCTACCTATCTATCACGTGGTAGGGAAACTCCTAGGAGCTCGTTAGCTTCAAACTCACCACTGAACCACTCCCTCCGTGCATAGGAAAACTCACCTCAGATTTTCCCATGCTTTTCCCATAAAGACCCTCCATTTCTGGTTGGTGGTTTTAACCATCTTGAAAAATATTAGTCAATGGGAAGGACTATCCCATATATTATGGAAAATAAAAAATATTTGAAACCACAAACCAGATTTAGTTCGGGGATGTCCATGGGCCAGTCGACTCTCCTCCAAGGGTGGCGCGGCATCACCCAGCACCAGCGCGCGCAGCCGGATGCGCACGGCCTCGGGTGCTTTGGAACACCGTAGGATAGATAACTATGGGGGTGCAGTTCCAGATAGTCGATAGATAACTATAGTTATAACCATAGTTATATAAACTTATACTTGGGATAACCTATAGTTGGGATAAACTATAGTTACTATATTATGAAAAAAAAAACTATAGTTGGGATAAGCTATACTACCTATACTCCATCTTTCATGTGTTTTGGCCATGCAACCCCTGAGGTCATCAGCACCAAGTTATCCCAACGCATGGGAGGCAGTACCCCTTGATCGCTGGATGGTTTTTGTTGATGGAAAATCCGAAAATAAATATGGATGAGAACTGGGGGTACCCCCATTTGAGGAAACCTCCATAGAGTTTATAGGGCTTATCTCAACTTGGGAGTTAGTACCATATGTTACAATGTGACTATGAAAATAACCCCAAGTAACTTAAGTATGCACCAAGTATGCAGCCAAACCATGGGAATTGGCCACAAAACGGCTGGTGAGTATAGATGTTAAGCACCCAACATGTGAATTTCCCTGTGAAGATTTCAACACAAAATGGCTGGTAGTTGGATGGGTTTAATTTGGCGGGTACCATTTCAATGGCCATTGGTTGTTGAGCCCCTTAGTTTGAAAAACGTAATATATAAGTCAACTTGGATGCACGTCCGATTATCGATCATGCTTGCATATGTAATTACGGCATTTCCTTGTATACTAGTATACTGCATCAAAAAACACCCAATTGGCGGGTGGGGTACGAGCCTGGTACCTCAGTGGTGTCCTAGTTTGACACACCAAATACAATGCTGTCCAGCTTAAATAGGGATCATTTGGATTGCAGCTACCTACATTTAGAAATCATTGTCAGTGTTCCCGTCTAACAACTTAAAACCAGATTCACTCAATTCAAAGACTATGGAGTAATCGTTGTCTTCTCACATTATTACCGCTCCTCTGATTCCTCGCACTATCCTTACTTTTGTAGATGAATGATAAAGTTCCCTGACAAAACGCAGCCAAATTTCCAGTACATCCACGTGCTGGTAACCAACAAAAATTCGAGATGGAACTTCGAACCTGAAGCGATGAATAGGAACTCAGCTTCCCATGGCCAAGCCCTTTTTCTGACACACAAAAAATTCCTTGGTGAGTAGATCTTGATGAAACCTGTCGGGAAAAAAACCTCTCAACGTGTCCTTGGTCGTTAGGGATCTTTTTGGCCCGTGAAATCCAGGTTTTCACCCAATCTATATAAACAAATATATATATATATACCAATAATATAATAGTCACTTCAAAATATCTATCTATATATATATATCTATCTATCTATATCTATAAAATTCTATAAATCTATTAGGCACTTGAAAATTCGATTCAGATTCACGAAAATCGCTTCTCCACGGACTCCACGCCATCCGGATGAATCCCGGGACTCCGCTTCCGTCCCCATCCTAGGGACCCAGCTGGCAATCCTTCCATTGGAACGACCTTGGCGTTTGACCCATATACGGGCCCGGAAAAAGCATGGTGATTTCATGATGATTTAACCAGACCTGGGATAGAAATGGATAGAATGGAATGCATTGGGATGTCATGTTTACTTAATCAATGGCCATTCCAGGATCCTAAATTGGAGGTACCTACCATATATAAGGCCTATGTAAGGCCTATGTAAGGGGATATCCCCAGAAAACAACCAACTTAATGGAGTGTAAACAACCAATTTATCCCATCGCCCTAACATTAAACAAACATTAAACACTCTGCAAAGGGTCTCAAATATGTGTAAATCCCCTACTGAACCATGGTTTCTTGGGAGTGTTTTGTATGGGGTGAGGGATTAGATGTCAATATACAAATGGAAGAATCCTAACTATCAACTGATAGTTGTCGCTATTATATTATAATGACTATATTGTAATACACATGAACTGCAAATACCAATTCCTCAGCCAAAATATTGAATATCTCAATGGTCAAACATGTAGGGTCTTCAAGTTTGGCAACTCACCTCTTGGTTTCTCTTCATTGTTTTTCTCATAGCTCTGCTAGTTAGCCATCTCCCCCATAAATGGCATGCTTTTCTAAGTTATAATTTACCTATAATTTCAGCTGGTTGGTGGTTTTAACCATCTTGAAAAATATGAAAGTCAATGGGAAGGATGACATCCCATATATGACATGGAAAATAATCCAGTCATGTTTGAAACCACCAACCAGTCATCATTACAATAGCTTGATAAAAGGTGTACCCTCTGGTAAACGTTTACATAACTATGGAAAATCACCATGCTATCAATGGGTAAACTCACTATAAATATCTATAAATCACCATTTTCAATAGCTATGTTAGTCATTACCAGAGGGTAAATTCCTATAAAAATCCCATTTTTCATTCCAAACACATCCCCTGAGGACTTCACCATAGCGCGGCGGAGGACGGATCCAAGGCGTTTCCAGCGCCTGTTCTTCTCCTGAAAAGAAATGGAGGTCTCAATGGGAAAATCCGTAGGAACATCATGAGAAAATCCATGGGAAAATCCATGGGAAAAATACCCTCTGGTAATTTGTTACAGTTTGCTATTGAAAATGGTGATTTATAGTGAGTTTACCCATTGATAGCATGGTGATTTTCCATAGTTGTGTTAGTTTACCAGAGGGTATGTGACATGGATTTGTTTCCCCTAGAAATGGAGCTTCAATGGTGGGTCATCATGGTGATATCCCTAATGTAAACCATTGATTACTTGCTAAACCTCCCAGTTTCTGAATAGTGGGTACCAACTTTAATGGGGATGTTTTTGACTGTTTTTGAGGAAAAGACACCAATGCTTGGTCAGGGGTTACTAATCCGGGTGACATTACCCCGCAAAACATGAATCTTTGGCTCGGGTTTTAAAGACGATTATAGTCTTAGACTGCCGATCCAAGCTTTTCCCAGGAAATTCTGGGGGGATTAGGGGAATTTACGCACCAAAAGTAGAAAGCCTAGAATTTGACCAGCTAAAGATGGAAGGAAACGAAGATATTCAACAACAAAATTTTTGGAGATCAACCATGATCAACCAGCCAAAGAGGTGGGATTTGAACCGCCGGAGAGGGGATCAACCAAAAAAAAAATTGAGCATTAACCTGCATCAGATGTACCAAAAAAAATTGGAGGTGTGTTCTGACATCCATGTAAGTGTTGGATCTACATGTAGCCCTCAGCTTCTTGGGTGAATTTAGTGCCATCCCTGTCAGCTCTCTAAGATCTTTCAATGTTCAACTCATTGAGATCACCCTTCACCTTGGATGATCCAGTCCTCAAAGTTCATGTAGAGATCCCACAGGGGAAAGGCTCCTAAGTTGCCACGTTTTCACATGGCCAAGGATAAGGTGGCCTAAAATGTGGGACTGCACATGTTGTACATGGCAATTGGAAATCCATATGATGATGTTCCCATCTATAAACCTCCATTTCTAGAGGTTTTTCCAATGATTTTCCCATATTTTCCTATGATTTTCCCAGCTAGAAACCTCCATGGCTAGTTCGGGTAGCCACTGGGCTTTCCCGCTCCAGTCGCTGCCGACTGTCTCCACGGCTTTCTCGAAGAGCTCGCGTAGGCCATCCTGACTTTCGGCGAGTCGCCATGGGGGGTGAAAAACTGGCAGACTTGCAAAGATCAATCAAATTAATTAAATGATTTAGGTCATTAATGATATTTATGATCACAAAATCAAGTTTAGATTCTATTTATTTAATCAAACGAATCTATAGATTGGACCAGAAAAAAATATACCAGTGGATTTGAGTAGTTGAACCAAGAAATTTGAACGATTCATATGACTGACATCCAATGATTTTTAGTAATCAGAAGATGATTCATTGGTTAGCAATGCAGTTGGAATACTACTTCATTGGTAGTATATGACATCCAAAAAAAACAATACAGTTGGAATATTACATGGTGAGCAATGATTGATATTGCATACATCAGATTCAACCGAGTTCAACGGGGTGGTTTATCATGCAATTCTGGGAACTGCTTCGGGATGCATCCCAGTTGTGGTTGATAACTTTAATAACCCACCTATAATCCATGGGGATATTGATATTACCTACAATCACTGAACTGTAAGATTAGTAAGATGGCTATTAGCCACTGCAAAATCATGTCCCCAGCTCAAGTGACTCAGTAGTTCCCCAATGGTCATTAAAATCATAGGAAATCATTCAGTCTTGGGGTGCTTTCCCTTATAGCAACCAAAAAACAGACAGAAAATCTACGATATCATAGATCTATCATAGGGTTGGGAAACTCAATTCATAGCTCGAATTGGCTCCCGCTTTTGCTGGGAATATGGAGACCCCTGGCTCCGAATCGCTCCCTCCATTCACCACTGGATAGATGTATAGAGAATTTGATGGCAGTATAGATACTTAGTCTATTACCACCAAGATCATCTAACACATAGTGTATTGAACACATCTATAACATAAATCCCTAGAGATCCCTATAAATCCCTAGAGATCCCTAGAAATATTTCCAGGTCTCCAAACTTCCGCCCTCACCTCCGCTCCATCAGCCGATACGGCAGCTTGGCAGTAGTGCACCTTTCAACTGGTCCACTGGTGCTTCATCGTCTAGCTTGGATTTTTCTGGGTGATAACCCTAGTACCCTCTGGTAATTTGATACATAGCTATGGAAAATTGCCATTTATGGTTGATTCACCTATTAAAAATGGTGAATTTCCATAGCTATGTAACAAATTACCAGAGGGTAACTGGGGTGGATCCACCCTACTTATCCCACTGGGAAATTTCCTTTTTCGCACTAGTGGGATGAACCACCAAGTAACGCCAATCATAATATAGTGTATGAACCTTCTAATGGTTACCTTATGAAATATGCTATATACATTATTTACATTTAAACCTATGCTGTGGTGAATCATTTTAGCGAAGTTGCTTGAGAACTATAGATAAACTGTTGGCTTAATTGAGCTTATAAACCAAGCTGTAAATGGGGTGTACGTTGAATTTTTTGGGATTCAATCGGCAAGAATTGGGTGTTACGGATACGAAAAGATGTGGGATAAAGTATGCTGTTATCAATGGAAAAAAAAACTATATCCGGGATATAATATAGAGCGATTGGTGATTTAACCACTATATATACTGGTTGGTGGTTTCAACCCCTCTGAAAACTATTAGTCAGATGGGATGATTATTCCCAATATATGGTAAAATAAAAAATGTTCCAAACCACCAACCAGATATGTATATGTATATACATGTATGGGTTCCACGGTTCAACCATCAAAATATAGGAATACAACGGATACCTGTTGGTGGATCAGTACATTTATTCGGGACAGGCATCCTAAGTGCCATGAATCTCACTGGGGATATTCCATATAACCCTCAAAAAGATAGAAAAGTGATTTATCCCTGTTCTTACGTGTCCATCTTTTTTTGGGTTGTTACAGTAGACACATATAGAGAGAGAGAGAGAGAATTGTAGATATACATATTTAGATGTATTATATATAATCTATAATATATATATAATATAATACGTATATATATATATACATACATAGCTGCTGACTTATTTCATGTGATTCGTATCCGCTTACGATGCCTCAAATGTACCGCATCCTATGGGGTGCTGTGACCCGCAAACACGGTGGTGTCATCAGCAAAACGACGTGGATTTCACCAGGAAAAATGTCGTGATTTCACCACGAAAAGAATGGTGATTTAAACAGGAAAGGTTGGGATTTAAGCATGAAGATGATGGGTGCTGGATCTGTATCATGGTGCAAAAACTGTGATTGCATCCATTTTGAAACTAAGGATGAAACTGCGTGATGTTCTGCCGGAGAATGCAATGCAAAATCTGAGATGATATAGTATCGTTGTCATCCTGAAGTAGATAGAATATATATATATACCATCTGGTTATTTAACATAGCCATGAAAAATCACCATGTTTAATAGGTAAACCATCTATAAATAGGCCATCGAAAAACCATGGTTATGTTAGTCATAACCAGAGGGTATACAAGGTTCAAACATATTTCCATTTTGCTGATGGGCTCTTGTGGAAATGTCCATCTTTCCAGAGTCACCTGATTCCAGGTCGGTAGATGGAAGAGTTTTTTTCAGGACATGGTAAGCCCAAATTCTGGGACATCCCTCGAGGGTACATCCCGAAAAAAAAAAAAAAACTATTAAATTTCCATAAATCCCCATAAGAAAGGACACTTTACCCATGTTTTCTCCACATCAGATCGGGACTTCCGCTGAGCGCACCCAGAGATCCACACAGGCAGGTGCCAGCTTTAGGGCCTCCCAGCTCGGGGGCCCCCGAAAAACGCCTGCAAATTGTTCATGTACAAGCTCGGAGAAATACGAACCTCACTGGGAGAAATACTATATAAACCCATCAAAAAATCATAAACCCATCAAATTCAGATAGCTCACTGCGAGAAATACTAAACCCAATTTATCCCAATTTTATAACTCATAAACCCATCTAATCTGCAAAAAGCATAATCTGACAAATTCAGATCTGTATGGTTATGATCCAATACTGCTTGGTTGAGGGGATCTTGCAGTTGGTCCACAACCCTCATGAAATCAGTTTGTATAGACATGAATCAACCATCAGGCATGAATCTGCATTGCTCAAGTAATTTCAGCCAGTTGGGTGTCACTTGCTCCGAGAGAAATGATTGGTAAACGCACAAAACCACAATTTTGCAGATCATGACGCAATAAAATACGTGCCACCGCAGAATTTTAAGCATAGCCCAATGTATCCTCATTTGATATCATTTATCTCAGGCCAATCCTTTTTCGAAGCAGCGAGAAAGAGTTAGGGACTAGTTTCTTAGTAGTGCGCATGCTTATGCTTAGCGTGTTTTGAACCGGCTGCTTTCGATATTCGGGGCCACTGTTGTCCACAACGTTGGCCCACGGCATAGACCCTGCACAAAACTCAATCCCTTGCAGGATTCGATATTCATGCATTTCTGGTAAAGATAAGCCATCATTCACTATGGTGGATACATCATGATACATCATATGTTGGTGCTTAAATCATTTAAATCCGTATTCTGTACTTAGATCATCTTAGATGTGCATCCCAGTTATACAGTAAGAACCTGTCAAACTTACTGTATGATATAGTTATATAATATTATATAACATTCACAACATATGGGATGCACATCCTCAAGCTAGCTTGTTCATCCACGGTTGGTGCGTTCTGCCCCCCACATCTGTTTTACAAAATGCATTTGCTCATTTATAAAAACATACCCTGTGGTTATTTAACATAGCCATGGTATAGATGGCCCATAGAAATAGATGGTTTACCTATAAATAACATGGCGATTTTCCATGGCTATGTTAAATAACCAGAGGGTAATAATTTATCAAGATCCTTTAATGCTTTTGCAATATCAAATGAACGATAGGCTTGTATTCCTCTCTTACAGTATCATCTAGATCTTCTAAATCAACCTGTTCTGAAAGATCTAATGCACAACAATATACCCATGCTATTGACCCACGTTTTTAAACCCGTTTTTGAGCACCTTGACATAGACGTTCAGGCCGCTTTCGCTTCCACCTCTGGGATTTTCTCAAAATGAGTTTATGGCCATTTGGGGATGATTCCCATGGCCGTCGTGACTTTCGTCGCGACGTGAGGTCGGGCCCCATACATTTGCCAGATCATGTTCCATGAAATATCCATGAAATATCCAAATATATAAATCCCTAAATTGTTGGTTAAACCCGAAAAAAATGAGTTGGTTAAGTCACACTCAGTCCTAATCTGTGCTGTTGGTCTCCAACTACTCCCACCGTCCTCCGCGCAAGGTCTTGTCTGCTCTCCCGCTGTGGCACAGCATGGACAGTGTCATCGAGCTAACAGGTGTGTGCTAAATGCACGATGCACACCATCGGCCCAGATAGGAGCTTGTTAAATGAATGAATACTTGCTAATAGTAATAATTGCACCAAAAATACAATAAAGATTCAATAAGAATGAATAGTACTGGATAGTAATGATTTGTGATATAATGAATAACGAAATGACAATAACCAATAGAAAGAAAATAAACAGTAACAATGACAATAACATATAATGTGTGGTACTATTCATAATCATGGTATGATGTGGTATGGCTCGAGCCATTGTGTACCCCAAGAAGCTGGAGACTTTACTCCTGGTTCGCAGGGCTCAGTGTTTTTGGACCCTCAAGTACTTCAAATGCTAAAGTGAACTGGCAGCTACCTTGCGGTTCAGTTGGGGCGGCTCACTTGTCAGACACGTCTGAGTTCAGGAAGCCGTCTAAGTCTCTGAGCAGAACCTGGCGTGAGAATCCCAAGGGTGACATCCCAAGTGGTTGACATAGCATCACTTCATCTGGATTTATGTGGATTATCTCCCCAGAAGAATGAAGTTAAGAACGAAAGCAAAAAACCATGTGTTAAGAAGAGATTCCGGGTTTTCTACCCAGTATCGTGGTCCATATTCGATTTCAAGGATGCAACTTCCACCACGACACCACGATTGAACCACTGTTTGTTTGACGTCAATGTCTGGATCCGAAGTGTTTGGGAGATTACACCTGAATGCACAAACGGCTTCAAAAGTGGATGGTTGAATAATGGCCAAAATCTAAACTCTTGGAACCATACCCAAACTATCAACATTGAATCTGGGCCAACCAAACCTGGCAAAATCGAAGCTGGAAAAGCCATCCTTTTCCTCATGGATTATATTATAAAATTATATTGGGATTCACGGGGTTTCCCGGTGTCATTTCTCCCGGAAAAAAAACAAAAACAAAACAAAAACAATCCCTCATGATGTTCCCATTGATGATCTTCCCATCATACCCCTTCCATTCATTGAAGATTCGCCCTTCGAACATTGGGATTTTCCATTGGTCCACTCCATCCATCTTTGGGGCTCATTGTTGTACTGGCACCTCCAAATATGATTCATAGCTGCATTCCAGGGCCATCCATAAATAGATCCACTACATTCAACCACGGTTGGACCTGGCTCTGCAATATTAGAAGCATGGGGTTCATCCTGAATCCCAAAAAAAAAACTCCGGTGTCATCAAACGTGCAATTTTTATATCCACTATAGCATTTTTGAAGCTATAAACCGTCATTTATAGTGGATTTCCCATTGCTACGTTTGATGACACCAGAGGCTACATTCCAATCATATCCCAATGATTATCCCAATATAATCCAATATATCCCTCTAAATCCGTATAAGTCCCTAGTTGATTCCTATCTCCCCATTCCCAAAAAGATAGACATACTGCTTGGTGGTTCATCCCACGGCTCGTAAGTGGTTTATAACCCCAGTGATTTACATGGGATAAGTAGGGTTAATCCACTTATAACTGGGGTGAACTAACCCACTTACGAGCCGTGGGATGAACCACCAAGTGGTCCCCCTTTTTCAAGATGGACGTGGCTCGTGCAACCATCGAAGGTGAAACCCTTACGCCACCGAGCTGCCACCACAGCCAAGAGCGCAATGAGAACCGGAAGCAACCTGGGATGGCCCAAGTTGGATGATATGGGATGAAATGTCATGGGGATTTCATACATTTTCCATGGGGATTTCATGTGGATTTCATGGGGATATGATAGATCAAACCTATTTTCTGGCCAAGAATCCAGCAGGAAAGTGATCTTCCAAACATGTTCTTAGGTTCAATGTTGGAGTTTGGAGGCGTGCCCGGAGGAAGCTCAAAGAATTTTTTAGTTGAAACGTGCTGAAACCACTCAAAGTTTCAGACCCAGCTAGGTTTTCCTGCAAAATGACCATACTGAAACTGGAGGATTGTGACTTCAAATTTCCGTGTCCATCATGTGAGTCTTTGTCAAACTCGGGGACTCAAAAACTGATACAAAAAAATGCATGGGTCAAAATCATCAACCCAAATGATATAAGTTATACTATATGTATTACATGTTCTATCCATATAACCTGCTATCCATATAACCTGCTATCCATATTGATATCATTAAGCAGTATTGATATTGTGAAATAGTATATATATATAATTGTTGTGTCTTCTATAGGAATAGATGGATGGTGTCATATTCACATCAAGAATATTAAAGAATATTTAACAATAGAAAACACAACTTTGAGTTGAACATATGAAAAAACATCTACAATGTGGTAAGCCCAGTTAACTACATAGTTTGGTATCATCAATTATAATCAATTGTATAGATATAATATATCATATAACCATAAACTGTAGGAATTAGTTTTATCAACTATAGATACTATAGATACTATAGATAAATCATGATATATCTACCATAAACCTGAAACACCAATCTTGAACTGCTAATGTATAACCATTCTGATCTACAATTATATAGATACTAGTATAATTTATATACATGTATATATATATATATTATAATGAATGGTATCAACAGATACTGATACTTTCAGATATAATATATAATATATATATAGCTACTATAACTATGAACATTTATCGATATACATATATATATATATTCTATAAGACAGATCTACCATAAACATCCATAAACTCTGTGTACCATCTATACACACTAGGTATATTTATATAGTAATATAATATATATATATTCATATCATTTATGGTCACCATTTATACTGTAACATCTATAAGTACTATCAAAAAATATCTATCATATATATATATATACTCTAAATGATATATATATATATTATTACTATAACCATAAATCCATATACAGTAAATGCCCCATTTGTATATACCCTCTGCTTATTTAACAGTTCGCCATGGAAAATCACCATGCTATTAAGTTCGGTAAACCATCTATTTCTATGGGCCATCTAGACCATGTAAATTACCAGAGGGTAAGTACTATTGAACATGTTGTACCCTCTGGTAATTTAACATAGCTATACATAGCTATTGAAAATGGCCATTTATAGCGAGCTTTCCCATTAAAAATGGTGATTTTCCATAGTTTATAGTGGATTTTCCATAGAAATAGTGGAATTTCCTACTGAAAATGCTGATTTTCCATAGTTTTTTGTACGTTTACCAGACATAACTATGGAAAATCACCATTTTCAATGGGAAACCTCACTATTTCAATGGCCATTTTCAATAGCTATTTTGACATAACCAAAGGGTCAATCTCCCACGACTTTTTTCAAGCGACAGGGCCAAGAGCCCGCAGGGTCCCTCGGATCGCACCCCAAGCAGCGCAAAGAGGATCTCCAGAAATCGCCGTGGCCTGGAGGTTTTTTCGGAAAAAGGAAAAAAAAACCTGGAGATTTAACCATGGTTTAAGATGGTTTAAGATGGTTTAAAATATGGATTTATATGGATTTATATGGATTTATATGGTTTTATATGGTTTTATATGGTTATATATATATATTATATATATATATATTTGGTGTTTGATATGGTTTTTATGTGGTTCTAAAAAGTTTTTGTATGGATAATCATGGGATAATAATTAGACACTGGGATATGAATGGATATTCATGGATATTACCCTGTTCAATGGATTATAAATTGATATTTCCCGTTGCACCCTTCAGTGTCATCAAACATGGCGGGCAATTGGAAATCACCAAAGAAAAAGGAGGTTTACAGCTGGGAAAATTATAAAACTCACTGGGTGGTTTTCCATTGCCACGTTTGACTACCGGAGGACAACATGGTGAAAGTGATACTCGAACATGTGGAAACAACAGATTTTTTTCAGAACTGAAAACGGGATGTAGTGCTGCTCATCTGCTTCCAAGGGAACATCACCCGTTTTAGGCAAACGAATCTGCTTCCCCTAGAATTGATGGTGAAATCCGATTAAAACCCCATTCAGACTTCATAAACCCCAAAAACAAACACATTTTGTTTATGACTCATTAACCAACAAACTATATCATATTGTCGGATATATGTATATATATATGTATCATTATATCATTATATCCCCATCATATCCCCACAAAAATATGCTATTATTAAAAGCATTATATATAATGATCATCCGACCCATCATCACTTCTATCTCCCCACATTTTTGACAATTAAACCCCTAAATTATGGTGTGCCATCCCCATGCATACCATGATTTTCTCACCGGAACCAGGATTTCGTAGCCACTGCTTCCAAGCCGCAAGAGTTTCCGGCTCAAGCATCATCTATTCATTCGATCTCTGCATTCTGTGTCAAAATTGAAACCCAACAATATCATATTACCCTCTGGTAAATAAACAAAAAGCTATTGAAAATGGCCCAGTCGAAATAGTGCGTTTTACCATTGAAAATGGTGATTTTCGATAGTTTTTTTGTTAATTTACTAGAGGGTATATGATATTGTTGGTCATCCCCATAGGAAATATCCCCCATCCCAACAGGGTCAACATCTCACTGCCAACCAATCACAACATCAGTACTATGTATTACGAAAATGTCTACCAATCACCCAGCAATCAGTTTATATTGGAGTAATCAAAGGCCAATCATGTTTCACATCATTCATGATTTGTAAAGTATGTCAGAAAATTACCATGAATTACTGGTTAGATAATTATTTGCCATCAACAAACATAATTACTATGGTACTGGTAATTCATGGTGAATTACCAAAAATCACGACATGTCAGACACCCAGCCCAGCAGATCACCATCATATTCCCATTGTTGTTGGTTTATAGCCTATTAATTAACCACTATTAACCACGATAAAAACCATCACTATTAACCATCACCCAGCACCAGGATGCCAAGCCGCAAGATGTATTCAAAGGCATGGAGCATCACTGCCGCCACCACCCAGGCGCTCCCTAACGCTCCACGGGTCACCGAACGCCCCTCCCGGGCGCGTTCCAACCTGCGCTGCGAACCGAACCCGTTCTGAGCAGGCGAGTGGAACTCGCAGAAATTGGGACCTTCAACCCGAAATAAAACAGAAAATACGGCTTTTACTATGCTTTTACTATGTTTTTACTAGCAGAAAATAGGTAGAAATAGGGGATTGGAGCTGAGAAAAGCTGGATTGGACATGATTTAACCAGCAGAAAAAGTGACGAAGGGAAGCAGGAAACACAAGTGGGACTATGGTCGGTTACAGTATAACCACAGCATTGTGAGAAGCACATGACGACAACGCAAAAGATGCTAGAGGGCCAATCAAACCCAGAGTCTGGATGTCCAGTCTGGTTACAGTCTAAGCTTGTGCATTGCTTCTGGTAGCCAGAAAACAAACACACTACATCAGGCAAAACCACCATTTGCAATTCAGGTGACAAGACCTTCAGGTGGTGATGCCTAATGTTTAGTTCTTCCCAAGTTCCCTACTTCTGTTCCCAACATGTTTCAAATTGTCCTGTCCCCATGTGTCCTTGGTTGTATTTCACCACCATCTTCCTGATCTTTCCTGGTTTTGTCTCACCCCAAAAATCTGTCATTGCAACCCCCATCTGACCATTTTCCAATAGAAAAAGAATCTTTCAAATCCAGTTCTCACCATGTCCCTACGCTTTCCACCCATTTTTACTACATTCTTTGAATTCCATCCCCGAATTCGCCAGATTGTCTGCCACTTTCTGTGGATATTTGCGTGGTTCCGACCACCACGCCGAAGCCAAGCCGCATCTGCAGCGCCGCCCTCATCTGGGCGCGAACTTTGGCGCCAACCTGAAACAATGACAGGAACAGCAAGCCGGCACCAATATGTGGATTTGACCAGCAAGAATACGAATGAACCATCGAACACTGGAATATATATGCATTGGAATATAAATAGAATCAACAGAAATGGTGGATTAACTATCGAAAATAGAGATTCAATAGGGGACATCGGGGGATATCACAGTGTCATAATGGAGCCATGGAGGTAAGATTTGTGGTGGAAAAGCCATGGATTTTTCTCACCTGGGTCCAAAAAGTGGTTTAACTCATATTTAGGTAAGCCCATTTGGTATCTTATATAACTTATATATATATATTATAACTTATATCTAACTTATATATAGATATCTAGTTGGTGGTTGACCTACCCCTCTGAAAAATATGAGTTCGTCAGTTGGGATGATGACATTCCCAATAGATGGAAAGTCATAAAAGTCATGTTCCAAACCACCAACCAAATATTGTTGGTCATCCCCATAGGAAATATCCCCCATCCCAACAGGGTCAACATCTCACTGCCAACTTTTTTCACAACATCAGTACTATGTATTACGAAAATGTCTACCAATCACCCAGCAATCAGTTTATAACTTGGAGTGATCAAAGGCCAATCATGTTTCACATCATTCATGATTAATTAACCACTATTAACCACGATAAAAACCATCACTATTAACCATCACCCAGCACCAGGATATATAGATAGATCACCCAGCAGGTGGGTGAACTCCCGGTCCAGCTTAGCGCCTCTGTGGGACTCTGGCGCAACTGTGCCAGCGCAGCGTGGAAGTTGTTCTCACCTGTGGTGAGGTCAACCGGGGTTGTGGGAATCCTGCAAAATGGGTATAAACATATACTGTATATATATAATTATTTATATATATATATATACATACTTATTATATATCTATATATTAATATCTTATAATATATTTAATATTAATATTAGTACATATATAATGTCTGTACATATATATATATATATATAATGTATTTATAAAATGTATGTACAGTATACGTATATATATATATATCCCCATTAACGGAGGGATGACCATCCCCCAATATGGGTGTATAATCATTTGTCCATGCCACATACGATTTTTGTTATCCACCAAGCCGGCCTGAAAGTGCAAGGGTTAGATGCAAACCATAGTCACTTGGGATGATTTCAACTGAATCAGATGTGCTCTTGGAATGATTAAAAGTATGATTTTACTGATTCAGGGATTTGATTTGGTATTTAGTTGAAAGTAAATTCAATTTAAATCAAGAGCTCTTGAAAGTAAATGATTTTAAATGAACTCGATTTGGAACCCGCACAATGCCCCAGCAAAAGCCTCGATTTAGTGATTTGTTTTGAAGTCATCTGTTCTCCCCACGCAACAAACAGGATCGAACAAAACGGACTGTCCAACCAACAATGCATTTGAGATCCAGCCACTATTCTAGAACGCATGGCGTTCTATTCCGGCATGCCCTCCGTGCCGTGCCCAAGATCAATGGTTTGACATGAATTTCGACTTGAAAAGATGGGCAATCCCCAGTTTTGAACATCATTTTCTTACTGGTGCTAAACGCAGGGAATGGATGAGAATGGGGGAATGGGATGATTATTACTAGTGATACAGTATCTAGTGATTATGGATCATTCCCTCATTCCCTACTAAGCACCACTAAGCCTTGAATTCTCCAACTTTCCTGTGTTAAATCGGACAGTCAAATCCGCCCTCAATCTAGGTTCCCCCACAGGTCATTAGTGCAGCACAGCAAGTATCCAAATCACATCCACTTACCTGGCTTAGCATGGCAAAGGACTCCCCATCCTGGATGGTTTCCCTTACAAGGACCGTGACATGGCGGGTTTTGCTGCTGAGAATTTCCACGTGTTGCTGGCTATATCCCCATGATATAAGTTTCAAACATATTCGTCCACGACATCTTCTTTGTTTTAGCCAGAAATCATCATAGATCATCAGCCATATCACATATAGATCATCATCTAACATCACATAAACATACATAAAATCATACACCAGCGATAAAGCAAAAAATAGCCCAAATAAATCGCTGGTAAAACAGCTGTAAAACCCCAAAGGTTCACCATTGGTGCTATCACCAGCGTTTGTTGGCTTTGAATCACGATGTTTATCCATGTTCCTATGGTTTTCCTATGGGTTTCCTATGGGTTTCCTATGGTTTTCCTATGGGTTTCCTATGGGTTTCCTATGGTTTTCCTATGGGTTTCCTATGGTTTTCCTATGGTTCTCCTATGGTTTTCCCATGGTTTTTCTATATGGTCTTGTTGGTATCATCCCCCAAAGATCCTCCGCCCTCCCAATGGCCCTGGCCTCCGCGAGCTTCAACACAACCCCTGGGGCTGGCTCTTCCTCCTCCTAGAGATGGCTTCATCCGATTCAAATGGTCAAAAAAAGGGGGCTCACACTCTACTTTTAGACTTTTAAACCTCAAAATATGACAAAAATCGAAAAAAAAAACCGGCCAACAACAAATGAGTGGTGTACCCAGTAAGGTTAGGTCCATACGTTCGTTTAACGGCGATGCAAGACTGGATCAAAGTAGATCCGTACAGACAGTATAGCATACGTGCATGGTATGTTAGGTATGGGAAATCTACTTCTTCAGTTTTCCTATTGCTATAAGTCAAATGGAATGCACGATGGTAGGTGATTGTACTGTATACAAAGCAAGCATGGCTCGCAGCTGGCATGGTCAAAGCGTCTGAAATGCGCTGTGTGGCCAGCAGGTACCAGCAGGGAAACCAACCCACTTCAAGAGATGGTAGTCTTGTCCGTGAAAGTATACCAGTCATGGAAGAAGAACCGTACTATTGAAAAAGACAAGCATCCCAGAAACTTTCTATGTGTATGCGCAAAAAGTCGCCACAAGAGAAAACCGACTGTTGTGTCTTGCAGTTGGATGGATACTCATGATTCATTGATAGATTGATCGATGGTTTCCTTCTGTTTCTATCCCTATTTAATTTGTTCATTGGATATCTATCCGATACTTCACATCGACTTAGGTTCAGAATTGTGCATCCATTTACGTTTTGTAGATGTTCCCATAAATAGAGTGGTCCCCAACTGCTTATTTTACAAAAGAGTCCACTGCTTATTTAGACAAAATGAAGATATGAAGCATGTCTCACAGAAACAAAAGCGTGGGTATTTCTCGTCTACCCGGTAGGTGCCTGCGTAAATCTGCAATGTTCAACGACGACTGCGCAGTATCCCTGAACGGTCCCTAACTTGTTGGTCAAATCACCCATGGCATCACGTAGGCGATTTGGAGCCCTGAAAACTTCGGGCCATGTTGGGATCGTCAGCCTGGATGCCTTTAAAAGAAGAACATCAGTCCAGTCATGTCGCGATCTGAGCTCGATATAGTACATATATATATGTGTGTATATGTATATATATATATATATTATTAATATATAATTATATATATATATATACCTATCCCCGTTCCCTATCATTTTGAGGTGGTCATGTATCCCATTATATGCCCAGTGTTAACCCACTATTAACCCATAATATCATTTTTGTCATTCTGTAATAGTGTATCCAGATTCAGTGTCTCTGTTATCATGTATCTTTGTATAATATAATGTCTGCAAATAAATTCCCATGAAATTCCATTAACATCCCATTATACCACCATGTTTGCTTGCTAGAGCAATTTTCTCCAATTACATTCCCATCGTATTGCGTCCCATATTATATCAAAAATCTATCCCTATGAATCCCTATTGCTGTTGATCATATGTTTGCTAGTTAAACCAGTTACACCCCCCATTCTTGCAAGTTTCACTCGTTAAAAAAGGCCATTCTACCACTATTGTTCGAACTAGTCCCGAAAAAAATATCCAGTGCTGGGAAAAAGCAAGCCCAAAAAAAAGATAGAAAAGTGATGCATCACTAAATTGCACCTAAGTGGATTTAACCTTCCTAACCTTTCTATCCTTAAAAAAGACAACAAAACGACCCAGAAAGTTTCCCATCTCCTTGGCATCGCCCAAGTGAGGCTCATCCTGTCGGAGCCATTCATAACATATCATATTGTGTATGTATAATATTCATGGTTAATCAATGGATAATCTATGGATAATCTATGGATAATCTATGGATAATCTATGGTTAATATATGGATAATCTATGGTTAATATATGGTCGAATATAATATATATATAGATATACAGATATGATATAGTATATCTTAAACAAGATGTATGCAAAATATGATGTGTATATATTGGTTCAACTACCCATTTCGGGACATATTTTTTTGGACCCTACACATCCTTGGCATGTTGATTCATTCTACTTCGAAATTCCAACAGTAGTTACCCCTGCCCCAGATTGGTGATAGGCTTACCACCTACATTATGGTTGGTATTATGAAGTAGGAGTTAACCATAAATATACAATGGGCTCTATATATATATATATTAATGGTAGGTTTACTGCACTATATATATATACATACAATGGTCTATAAAAAATAACTTCCCCCACTTTTTTTGCACCAGTATATATACAGTATGTATATATATATATATGGTACTGTATATAAACCCATTGGTTGAAGCACCAAAAATGGTGATATCAACTGCTGGGATCATCCCAAGGCTCGCCTGCAGCAAGCCTCCGTCACTGCGCCGTCGGAAACGCCGTGAGCCGGAACTGGCTGAGGCGCAGGGCGAGTCCTGGAACACAGGGCGTTCGTTCAGCACGGCTGTTTGAAGCCGCTGAAAGTTTTGGGGTGGATACATACGTCTATATACATATACATGTGTATATATATATACAATATCTGTGTATGTATATATATATACATGTATATATATATACGTATGTATATATATGTGTGTGTGTATGGAAATTTCCTAAAATGGAGGATATCCCAAATCATCCAAATGATGTAGACCACTTTGGTGTTGAAACCAATGGTTTTGGGTGTCCCCCATTTCAAGAAACCACCATATGAATATGAATTATGAACCACTGGAACAAAACTTCTGATAATTATTTCTGGTAAATGGTCAGATGGTCAGATCTTAAAGTACATAAGCAAGAAATAGAAACATGAACGCACAAAAAAAAACAATGTGAATGGGTCATCGACCAATCCGAACAGGAATGCAATCATCAAGATGTTCATCAGACTAGCGGGCTACATATGTTCCGAACACCCTCTTTGGTACGTGGAATCCTAGGTTGGATGCTACAGCGTCACGATCTAGTCTCTCCCTCGTGTATTTAGCTTCATTCCAGGGACTTTGTCCTGCAACTCCGAGTGTTGGGACATGGCTCGCAGCACATGGAGCGCTGGAAATTGCTGTTATTTTTCTTTCAACGGGGAGTTGCGGTTCGAAGGCATAACAGTTACTTGTATCATAGATATATTACATGGATATACCTCTGCGTGCTATCATACCCATCCCTACATTTATGTTCAACCTGTCGTGCAACAAGACATGAATTCCTCATGTCATGGCCAGGAAAAACCTACACTGGGAAGTGAACTGGTGGATGGGTCTTCCAGGTCACAGGTCTTGTCCATTCTTGTCCCATCTGCGGGTAGGAATGGAATTGTGAGCTGGATCTACGGCGTTGTCCACAAACCGAGAAAGTTTCTCATCATGTTACCAATCAAAGTTGCCAGTTTGGAGGCAAGTGTTCCCACTTCTGGATCAACCTATGATTTTGCAGCGCGTGACTGAGTCTTCCAAGCCCAAATCAGTGGATGATGAAGGCGGCCGTTCGAGGTAGTGCCATGCGAATTCCCGTGGTTTGCAATTTTTTTCAGGTAGACCTTGTAGATCCAATGTTTTAAAAAAAACCAGTCAAATTTTGTCCCCCCAGATATTAATTTCACCTGGCAGTGGAAAAGAATCCTTTTTGATTTTCGCTAAAAAAAACCGTCTATCGACGGGTAGGGGCTCTTCCGACACTTCCGTTGTATTGGAGTATGTGTGGATGTCCATGGATACCTCCAAAACCTTTCATGTTGAGGGTCGTGATTTAAAGTGCATGAAACTGCTCTTCATGGGGAGATTCCAAGTCTCGGTCACTCACGTCAAGTGGGAATATATGGGGCCATACTTGGGTATGCGTTCAAAGTGGTAGAGAAGAAAAATAAATGCTATGTCTATTAGGCTATAGAAGGCTCATTTGTTCTTGATCTATATAGATATTCTATGTCATAGTTTTATATATATACATACATAGTAGCTATGTCTGTGGCTCTTGGTGCTTGCCCCATCCCACAGAGTCTAGGGTCACAGGCAGGTACGAGTTTGAAGATCTGCCAACCTGCCACGTCACCAGTGAACCCTCCAGGCAAGCATCATGAACGGAGGGGTAGCCTTTTGGGATTCGTCGAAGCCCCATTCAGATGTATATACTGTATATACATCATATCATATCATATCATATCATATCATATTGATTCATATTGATTCATATTGATTCATATTGATTCATATTGATTCATATTGATTCATATTGATTCATATTATCCCGTTGTAACATTCCCCTATGATTTCATGATTATTCCATCATTATGTCATTATGAAAATCATTGTTACATTGTTTACTGGTTGAATTTACTGGTTGGATCCTCATCAGTTTCCAGAAAACATGCTTTGAGCAACGGAAAAACTCTGCTGAGTTCTGTTGGGTGTACCACCCAAAAAAAATGCCAGAATGTGTGTGTGTGTGTTTTCCTTATCATTTTCAGGTCAGAATAGCTTTGTTTATGACATATTCATGACATTTTTGGTAAGCCTGTGTCGAAACACCAGAGAATGTGAAACGTGTGGCATTTTTGGTAGTGCCCTGCCTTTTCCAGTATCCCCAGCACAGTGGGAACTCAGACAGGAAGTGCTCATACCTCAGTCCCGTCAGTCGCATCTGGCAAAATGATCTCCGCTTTTTGGAAGTGCCTTTTCTCAGCTTTTCTCAATGGTTTTCTGAACTAATCCCAATGGTTTTAGCTTTATTGCCAATTGATAGATGGGATCAATACCAATGGGATCAATATGAATACTCAATGGGATCAATACCAATGTTGCCAATGGTTTTAGAACTAATCCCAATGGTCGGCGAAATCTTTTCTGTGCTGCGAAATTTCCTCCATCTCTTTTCTATCCTCCATTTTTTCACCCCAACCCCTAGCGGCGTCGCAAAAAACTGGGAGAAAGTGGCAGTTCGCACTTCTCCCCGTCCGTGCCGGAGCTCTCAACCTTAGATCAACTAAGGGATGGGTCAAGGCACGCCCTATGGGACCACAGATTGAAATGTATATTAGGAGCTTTCCTAAAATGGTGGTACCCCCAAGTCACCATTGCTTGAAACCAGACTAAAATGGTCATCCATGACTTGGATGATTTTCGGGTACATCCATTTTAGGAAACCTCCATATGTTTCGTATTACTGGGGGATGTGTAGTAATTCCCTGAAAAGATGTGTTTCTAGGATGGTTTTTTGTACAGATGATATTGACCTCACATTTCCAGGTGGCCAACTTTTTGGACACCTATTTTGGGGTTGCGAAATAAATGGGTACTTGGAGGATCTTCGTCGGTGGCAAGCAAAGCGGAATTACAAGCCACTTGTAAATGGGAGAATCTACTGAACCGGGACTTAGCAACCAGGGTTATTGGTATCTCTGAAAATTGGGGGGAACCCACAAGATAAACCATAGCATTTATTTTTGGCGCCTTGTTTTCAGACCCCAAATGAAGATATCGTGTTTCCCGTTATTGTAACATAGTGTAACTAGTTTGTCACCATAGTTGTTATCTATGGGCTCACCCTGCTCACCCCACTCAAGGCACTTTAGCAAATCCATTTACGATTTAACCCAGGATTGTAGTGATCATGTTTCAAACCCAACTAAAGATAAACATAGTATACATATATATACATGTATATACATATATACATAGAAAGACTAGTATAGGTATATAGTAAATCCTACAAAGATCGACAAGTAAGTTGCTGCTAAGATGGTGAGAAATACGTTTGAGAAATCATATATACAGTTCTATCTGTTTTGGGAGTACTATCAAAGATGACGCCCAGTCATCAATTCTAGTGATATTCCCCATAAAACCATATAAAACCCTGGTTTTTCCCAGGGAACCAGTCCTCAACTTAGCATAACACCATAAATCCCATCGACATCCACCATGTTTCGACCGGTAAAAATGGTGAAATCACCAGTTTCCACCGTGTCCCAGGTGCCAGTTTCATCAGGGCGATCCATGCGTCAAAGTTTCGAGGGTTCGCCACAATGGAGGCTGACAGAGCCATGACCTCGCGATATGGTGGGAATATGGCAGTGTGTCAAAACCTTGTACCCCTGGTGAACATCAAAATAGCTGGTAAATGGATGTTCATCCCACTAAAAATGGTATTAATAGGTATTGATCCATACCCATATGGTGGGAATATAATGTGGGTAACACAATGTCATAAACAAACGATGTCATAAACCAACCATGACTGGAATGGTAACCATAGCACCTATTTATATCTATGGTGATTTGGGGGATGGTTTATTATTGTTGTACTCACATTAGTAGGAATATAGTGCGAAGATGGCATAACTGAACCAACTATACATAGTAATGGGAAGATAATTAGAATGTATTGGGAATGTAGTGGGAATGTAGTGTTTTTTCATGGAGATAATAATGGGAATTTCATTGGGAACCCCCATGATCTTGGCAATGGGATATTCAATTGGATATAGTGGGAAGATGTAACGATTCAATGGAATGGGAATATCATGGGAATAAAGTCTAAGTTTAGTTTAATGGGAATATAATGGGAATACAGCGGGAATGTAGTGCAATACAATATAACTGTCTAACTAACCATGGAGAATGATGAATATCCAAGAATTTCATGGGAATATCCATGGAGGATTTAATGTCAATAATGGGGATGAAAGCAGAGAAGTGATGGGGATTTCCCATATGATTAGACCATGGGATGATACTGGGAGTTTAATAGGCTTCAATTTAATGGAGATAATGATAGTCTGGAATTTGGAATATGACTAACCAACTATCGTGTAACTAATCATGGACAACGAATATTCCGAATATCCAAGAGCAATGGTAGTATTTCATCGGGAAAAAAATGGGAATCCGGTGGGAATATCATGGGGATTCATCCAAATGACCTGAACATGGCCATGTTAAAGCTACAAAAAAAAACAGGCATGAAACCATGGCAATCTTGATGAAAATGGGAGTTCAACATACACATTTTTTTTCAACCCAATCTGGTACAATAAAATTGGGAATAGCAACAGCTGACGAAATAAATCAAAATTCGCTGTGCGGGATTCGACTGGTGGTCATACGAAATGCACAGAATGTTGAAGGAGACACCCGGATGTCCAGGAAACAGGCAATGTTCATTGTTTTTTGGATGAACTACGATAAGAAAAAACATAATGAGTTTCAACCCCAGTGCCACAGTAACACCATGCAAACTTCAAGATTCCCTGACAAAATGATTTTGCCGGTGGGGTTCTGACCAAGATGCACCGACATGAGCAGCAAATACTGTACCATAAATCTCTGATAAGATCCATGTGGCATCCAGAGTTTCTGTTCTGAGTTGCATCTAGATGGTGATAATTCCTCAATTCAGTGGCTGTATTATTCTTCACCCCCAGCAACACCCGTCATCAAAGCTTTCGCCACCACTGTATTGGACACCGCTTCCCCCCCTAAAACTGAAAGAGGCTCCACCAAATTTGAAGTAGAGTTTATGACGTGTGGCAAGTTTAAGTGACATTCGAAAAAATCATGGACTTGGCCTGGTGTATTGCAAATTTGTACCCCGCTTCATCTAAATTCTGGTTTTGGTTCCCAGAGAACCCACCATTTGTATCAAACAATTGCCATTTTTTCATGGTTTGTACAGTATTTGAATGGCAGAATCGTTCTCACGGAAGGCCTCAAGTTTGAGTTTACGAGTCAAAATCATGAGGATTCGAAAAAAATCTGATAGTTTTTGAAATTGAACAAATTTGGTTTAAAACTATCAGATTTTTAGAATCACTATTTAGTTTTGTTGGTATGGTTACCATTCCAAAACATTTTTTTAACAAATTTTGGTAACAAATTTGGTGGTGATTTCAAAAATGTCACACCAAAACGAATAACCGCGCCGCCTCCTCACTTTGCAACTGCCCGAAAGCCGGGAGTTCCTGGGTTTCGTCATCGTGCGGATGGGATATTAATATTCAACCAAATTGGGAACCATTAATATTCAAAAACCCAAGTAGTCTTTCAAAATAAATGTAAAGCACCGTTGCCAACTACTCAGTTGCCATTTCTAGATCACTCATCATGAGTCATAAATCTCAAAATAAATCTATTCAAAACGTAGCTCATAAATCTCAAAACTGATCAAGTCATGCAACGGCTGTCTCTGATGATTTAACATAGCTATAGGAAATCTTGTTTTTTCACAGGCAACTCATTTCTAAATGGAATATTTTCCATAGCAAACTGTTGAATTACCAGATGGTAAATCCCATTATATTCCAATTAGTATCCCAATAGTATCCCTGTACAATCATATTTTGTCTGGTATCCCAGAGGGTATATGTCCATATATTTGCATTCTATATTGTTACATAGTATCCCAATTATCATTTTTATTATTATCCCATTTATGATCCCAATTCTTATCCCAATGATCATATGTTGACTGGTTATATCCCATTGGATCCCCCAAAAACGGGCATATCATTATAATTACTATTATTATCATTAATACTATCAATATTTTTATTCATCATGATTACTATTCATCATTATCATCAGTGTCCGACTCAGTGTCCCAATGATTATCCCATTTTGGCTGGTCATATCCCAATGGTTCCCCCTGAAGGCGCAACGTAGGCCTGGCGTGGCAACCATCGTTTTTCCAAGGCACCAGTTGGGTGAAGCCACAGGCCCGAAGGACCAAGGGCAAATCGCGTCCAAAATCGCCTGCTTGGAAGTGCAGTTCCAGTTACAAGTGGATATATATATATATATCCATATCCATATCCCTATATCCGTATATCCATATACCCATATATCCATATATCCATATCCATATATCTAGGTCTGTAAATCTAAATATATATATATATATATTTATCTATAAATATCTATATATCTATTTATCTATATATCTATATACCTATGTATCTATGTATCTATGTATCTATGTATCTATATATCTATGTATCTATGTATCTATATATATATATATCTATATACCTATGTATCTATGTGTCTATATATCTATGTATCTATGTATCTATATATATATATCTATCTATCTATCTATCTATCTAATCTAATCTATCTATCTATCTATCTATCTATCTATCTACATACCTATGTATCTATATATCTGTATATCTTTATATATCTATGTATATATTTATATATAGATACCTAGATATTTATAGAGGTCATATCCTAACATATCCCAAGTTATAGGGTGGATACTGGATACCCCTGGTTATCCCCACTTGTAACCTCAACTGCACCAAATTTTGAAAAACATGATTTTGGTTATCTGTCATGTAATTGGAAAAAAACATGGGATTTGAGTATGTTCCCAAACATATCAACTGTGCAGCTGAGTATTATCCTAGGTAAATAGCAAATGAACCAATTTTGTTTCATCTACTTTACTATGATAACACTTGTTTTGACCTTTTTGGGGATAATTATAGTATCACGAGCAAATTTTGCCCAAAATGATTGTGGAACACTGCGGAATTCGACCATCAATTATCAGGTTTCACTGGGCAAGTTGAAGGGAAATGGCGAAAGAAACTGCATTTGCTTGCCACAAATTATCGTGGATGGGTTTGTCTGGATTAATACCTCAGAAATCTGATTATTTTTCATCATTATTTTTTAAGTACAGATTGCAATTGCATGAGCCAGGGCTACAGCTGCTTGAGGGATTAAGCGCTATATGGATTTCAAGGGGACCAATGAGAGTTACACAACTGGGACAGTAAGTCTGGGGTCAAAAAAATGAGTTCAGCACCTAAACTGAACATACACTATAGGTCACGTGTGCCTTCCAAGCCGGGAATGTAATATATCAAAGCATCCAACGCAAAGGATTTGAAATGTTGATTCCTACAAATATATAATATATCCTGTACGTCTGTACGTAGACTCAGTGGCTATAGGATCAGGAAAAAAAGGAAAAAAACAGTGTGTTTGAAATATAGAGTGAACTGAGGGTTATTCGGAAACGCCAGAATAAACCATATGTAATCATGCTTGTGGAAAGGTCATCAAGCAAGAATGGATGAAAAAACATTGGTTGTTTGGTGGTTTCAACCCCCGAAAATAATATTAATTAAGTTGGGATCATCATAAATATACCTGGCCGTAGAAAGACTGACAAGACACTGTTCAAAATGACTGAAAATAATTACAAATGATATTTGGATGTGGAGAGTGGTCAAAGGCACGTACACCAAAATTTGCTGGAAATGAGCCAACCGTCAACCATGCCAAAATTTCTGCAGTCCTGCCAACCAGAAACTGAAGAAACATCAGGAATCAAGCAGATCATGAATCACATTGAAACCCTCTGCTGCCCAAAACTGTCCAAAGTCTGCCTTCTTTCAAGCGGTTTATGCCAGCTGCCCTTTCCTCTTCGGCAGCATCCTGGTGCCAAAAGGGAAAGCGAGTTCCCCAAGGTAATGTCCCTGCGCTGCATTTAGATGAATTAGTCTGGCCGACTGAGTTGAGGTTATTTCAATTTCAAAGCCATGAGGTCAGCAACTTGTTTGGCACAGCCTATGTTCTAACTGCAGAATGTCTTCAAACATGCCCGCATCTGTCTACTACCATCGCATGACTTGCGGACGCAGCGTGCCTTCATCGGGCACAACAGCTCCCTGAGAGGCAGGGGGACGTCAAGCGTCACACTTTCATCGGTCGCAGTTGTTGGCGCGCAAAGCGGGTGGGCCGTTTTGGGTACAAATTCAAGGTGCGGGGCAGCGTCCATGGCCTGTGATCATGCGACCAAACTATTTTGGACCGCCAGCAAACAAGTGAAAATGTATGCTGATGCCGCGCACATGTGTCTGCCTAATTTCAAGCGCCTATATGATGTTTCAGCGCGCGCCCTTGCCAAGAAAGGGCCCCTTGCCAGCCCCAAGCGCACAAACCCATCAATCCTCAGTGACGGCGAAGGACGGCTTGACGAGGGAAACCGTTGCCTTCCTCTACTCATCTCATTATCATTGCGGCACCATGGCT